TTATTGGATAGTACTTTCATCAAAAGTGTTAACTTAAACTACTTGAAACTTTACAATAATGTAGATAACAACTGACACGCATTTTAAGTGCGCCTTTAAGCGAAACATTCCATATTGATAAGTACCATGCTTAACATGTATTATACACTTAATAGTGATAAATTAAATAAACATAGATATAAATGAAACTGTAAAATGAAAAAGTATCATTTCATTATTTTATTTCATAAGTGGTTCCTTTCTACTTTTATTTTGGTGAATTAAAATACCTAAAGGCAATAGAATAAAAATACATAAAAGAAAAAAGCTAGCTATTTCTAATGACCTAGAATCAAAAGACATTTATTTAACAGTTAAATTTTTTCACTGCTGAAACATAGTATTGTGTTTTAAATTCTATTTAAGAAACAGAGACAACATGTTTCAGTACCGATCTTTTTTTTTATAACAGAAAGGGGCAAACGAGCAGCGGGAACACCCAGGTATTTAACGACGCCCATGGACATTAGCAATACCAGAGGAAGCGTCGCCGATCTTTGAGATGGTGTTACGTTCGCTTCTTGAAGTACTCTACCGATCTTTCGGCAAAGACAATAAACAGTTAATTTGATTGTGCGGCAAAATACATTTAAATGTACATTACAACGTAATGTCTGTCGTAAAACAAGAGAAAATCGAAAGCAACATTTTAAACCAAAGCAGAAGTTTGCTTCTAACTAATGAGAAAGTGTCAAACAATCTAAAACATTTCCTTTGAGCGACGGAACTGTAACGTTTGGGTAATAAAGTAGTTTTACCGTTTTATTTATTTGCTTTCTTCTCTATCTTATAAAAACTTTGTTATATTACACTAGATTTGTAATAAACATGTCTAATAAGATAATAGTTTGCCAAAGTATAATTTCTACTCTAATGAATTAGTTAGATACCGTGTTATTATTTCTTATAATATAATAATTTAACTTGAATTTTTGTACATTTAAATGAATTAGGATATTTGTTTATATAACACTGCCCGGGACTTAGCAATCAAGTATGATGTCCGGGGATAATATAGCTCTCTAACACCTAAATAATTTTACTAATCTGTTTAATATTTTCAATGTAAACAAACATAATGAATTAATATAATGCAGTAAAACATTGAAAATCACCCAAACGATATAAATACAATCTGCAGGTCCTGGGTTCGAATCCCGTCATGTACCAATGTGTTTTTCTATTTCCGATTTACATATGCACATTTATCCGACGTTCTTACGGTGAAGGAAAACATCGTGATGCAACCTGCACATATCTGAGAAGAAATTCCAAGATATGTGTGAAGTCAACCAACCCGCACTTGGCCAGCGTGGTTGACTATGGCCTAATCACCATTAACTGAGGGTAGGCTCCGAGCCCCTCGGTGGGGACGTATATAATGATATAAATGCACCATCTGCATATTGTTTTTATACTCTCTGTTCTTGAATCCTTTTTTTTTAAAAATAACATAGTTTTAAAACGTTATAAATACATAAACAAAAAGCTATTAACGTTGGTAATTGCGGTGTTATGTAAGAACATAATGAGATCATTTTTGGTGACATCGTTGCTCTGAGCGACGTTCACGCTGTAGTTAAAACACAATCAACGTAAATAACCGAGTTATATGAAATTAATTAATATAATAAAATATTTTTTAAATATTTATTTTATTTACATTACAAAGATCATTGTAAATACATTTTGTGATATTTACACATCAAATATAGAAGACTGATTTAAATTGATTTTGGAACAAAGTTATCCAGATAACACCAATTTGTTACCTAGTGGCATTTTTTAATAACTAATTCACAAAGAGTACTCTATGAGAGGTACTACTATAGTTTTTTAAACAGAAGCTGGCAAACGAGCATCGTGAACACCGAGGTGTTTAACGACGCCCATGGACTAAACGAGAACGTATTTTCACATATTTTTCTTTCTTGTTAAAGTTTTTTTTTGTTACAGTCAATAAAACGAATCTCTACTAACATAAGCAAAAATGTTTTTTGTTCTTTAAAATCCGTAGTGTAATGTAGATGCTTATATCTTAATCACAGAGTTTCATTGTTACAGTCAAAACTCAACTCAGTTCAAATTGTATACGAATAACGTTTTACGATGTTGAGTTATAAACTGAAATTGGATTTTCTAGCGTTTGTCGGAGCCATCAACTGTGATTTATATGCGAATTCAAGTAAATTTACTGTTTATTTCACAACTAATTATAACATTTCGGTCTAATATTTCCTTTATTGTTAAATTATTTCAGAAGGATATTACTAGATGTCACCGCGACTCTGTCCGCGAGGAATTAAAAAAAAATAGTAGCCTAGTTCTCCCAGGCTATGTTCGACAGCTATGCTAAATTTCAGTGATATCCATGAAGCCGTTTTAAAGATAACTTCTAACATTCATACATTCATCGGTCTATCTATCCATTCAAACTTTTTATATTCTCCAAGGCAGCAATAATAATATGTGATGTCTCGCTTAGAGTGCTAACGATCTTTTTTTGTATACCCTCATGTAAAATAATTAAAATAACTTTCAAGTTCATCATTAGGATTACTTGGTTGATTGATTGGTTATTTATGTGGTCCATTACCTTTGTAATTTGACTAGGACTTGTTAAATTTATATCTTATATCTTTAAATGAGCAATTCTTGTATATATATAAATATATAATTGAAATCTCGGAATCGGCTCCAACGATTTTCATAAAATTTAGTTTATAGGTGGTTTCGGGGGCGATAAATCGATCTAGCTAGGAATCATTTTTAGAAAATGTCATTTTATTCGTGTTTTATCGATAATCAACTTAAACATAAACTTAACTTTTTCTATCTGTAAAATCGAAAAATTGTATTTATATTTCATCATTTTATTAGTAATTCGTACTTAAATATAATTTCCATAAAACACAATTTAAAAAAAAAATACCGAGCGAAGCTCGGTCATCCAATTTTTATATTATTAAGCATATATAACGTAGATAAACATTTGCTAACATTTACCATTCATATGTGATAAATTAATCTTTGAGTATGTTAAGAACGGACTCGTATGGAATGTACCGAGCGCTTCGTTCCTCTGTGAAGTGTGAGATTAATGAAGTTGGTACGGAAATGTTGATTATTATTCATCTGCTATATTATATAACACAATAATTTTAATGCACACTAACATCAACAACAGTTTCTTATTTTGTAAAGAACTATACTCAAACTTAATTCTTCCATATGACACTTAATTTTCAAAGTTTTGTTAACGAAGTTATTGAACCGAAAGCCAATCCGCAGCACCAACTAATAAAACATGCAACGTCCAATTAAATTCAAAATTTGACTAGAATATGCCAATTTATATGCTTTTATTTCAAAAAATAAAATATTGAATACATCATTAAGTATTCACGAAGATGAACATTCAAATAAAAGCGGAGAAATAGAAATGTTGCTTTATTTATAGCCAAGTTGTATTGACCTTGACAATCGTCTCAACTACTCCGAGAACATCGACACTTCCATTGTTCGAAAGGGGAATAGGGTCAAAACAAAACACACTAAAGTTTCGTGTTGTTTTGTCATACGTCGATGAAGGCAGTACAGAGGGAGTTTCACGAATTCCTCAAATACTAGAACAAAGTATATACCAGTATTTGTTTGTATGAGTTTCTAATCTAAGTATTTGGTATTTTTAATTCATCTATTTCTGGGTGATAATCACAATTTTCCATCTTCTATCCAATTTTGCGTCCCAGAGGCCTAATTATAGCCCTCTTCCCACCTGTTTTTATAAGGAAAGGATGGGAAGTGAAAGTGGACTTTGTGGACGAGAAAATGAATGGAAAAAAAATCTTTCTGTGCCCTTCCTTCGTCGTTTAAAGGTAAGCAACGCATATGCAATTGCGTATGTTTATGGGAAATGGTTACTTCGCTATTTCAGAGATTACAGGTGGCCGCTCGCTCGTTTGCCTCCTTTTAATATAAAAAAATCTCAATCTATAACAATTAAAAAGTAATAATTTTAGTAGTCCCACTTTATTCCTGTTGTTTTGGCTCTTGATGAAAAACTCAAGTAGCCGATGATTAATATCATACCAACACCACCTTCTACTATAAAAAAAGTCTATTTATAAATTTAAATATCAATCTAACATCTTTATAGTCCCCTATTATTACATCTAAAAATGTAATTACTTCTTATCTTTTCAATAACGCTGTTAAAATGTTACTGCCCACAGACCTATAACGAACGAATGGGGAACCTAATAGCACATAAAAGATATGAACATTACGTTCTTAAATGACACCCTTAGAGTTTACGATCAATGCTAGAGGAGACGGGGTACATTATGTTGTAAAGATAGGGAAAATTAAATCACAACATTAAATTTATATTAAAAATTAATCTACATTGTATATAGAGTGATAAGTGTTTTAATTTTACAATTATATTCAGTAGCAACATTAGCAGTAGCATTGTTGATCGATTGTACTGTTCGACTGAGCATTGTATCGAAATTCGGGTTGGAAGCTTATTCTGTGCTTTGTTTAGGTTATGTGAGTACCGGTTCCGTATAGTTTCTTTCTTCGTTTAGCTTAGCATCTCCGATTACCAGAACATATTAATTGCAGCAAATGTTGGTGTATACATCAGAAGAACCGTGTGGTTGCTTGCATGTCGTTATAACAATTTTAGCATCTCTTACAAATAGAAGTGAGCTCCAAAAACTCCCTCGGTCCATTCTTTTCTCTTAATATTATTTTTTAAACAAACGTAGAATATTCCATACATTTTTTTTAATTTTTCGCATTGATGTCTGAGGTGAATCTGCTAATCTTTTTCAAATGTTTTTAAATAAGCATAATAAGAAGTAACAGGTACTACTGGTAAAGTACTTTATAATAATAAGAAATACGAATTTAAAGGTAAATAAAACAAACGTTTAAAGAAAATTGTGGTTTATTATCTAGACTAACTATTTTAATAACCATTCTTCACGTACAAAAAATAAAGGGGTGTAAATATATCTCTGAAAATGTAACGAGGTAACACAATGTGTATTGGAGCTACATGACGTCAGTCGACTGGAGGAGAAGAGGCGGGGTGAGCGGGGTAGGCTATGGCGGCGGCCTGCGCCGGCGCGCCCTTCGCCCGCACAGCAACCGCTGGAACGCGTGCCGGAACTCCGGGCTGAACACCGTGTAGATCACAGGGTTCAATGTTGAATTAAAATAGCCTAACCATAAGGATAATGACGTCAACACGGGACTTACTTCACAATCACACGTTGGAACTAATATAGCAAGCACAAAGAATGGGAGCCAACACGCTACAAACGCACCAGTTATTATTGCTAATGTCTTCGCCGCTTTCCGCTCTCGTTTCGAATCGACGGCCTCTTTCGGTTTGCGTCGCACCAAACTCGGATAGTAGGCGGCAGCCACGGCTCCGTATCCGGTCGTAGGCGGATCCGCCTCCAGACCGTTGGCACATGATTGCTTCTCTGGGCTCGTATTGTTTGATGAAACATTTGTAAACCCAGTGGTGGTGGTTTCTGATATGGTTGGCAAAGGTCGGCCTATGACGGCCACCACCGCGGCTGCGATGCCGCCGCTTCCTCCGGCCGCCACGAGCGCGCCGCCCGCAGGCACCGGCGGGGGCCCGACACCGCCGCGGGCAGTTGCGCCGCGTCGTCTTCGTATTCTTTTTCTGGCAGTTTGGTATATTCTCCAATACAGAATTAATATAACCAGTACAGGTACATAGAATGATGATGCCGTTGCGAATATTTGGTAGCCTACATCTTGGCTGACAACACAGCGCATGTCCTCGGCGACGCGCCGATTCCAGTCGGGGTCCTTCCAACCCAAAAGTGGTGCAATGCACACCAAGAAGCTCACGATCCAAACACACGCAATCATCAAGCCCACTCGGCGAACGGTTCGTGCGTGAATATAGTCAATATTTGTCACAGCCCAGTACCTGGAAAAGACAGCGAAAGTTATGTACTATATAAGGCCAAAAATAAATCTCATCTATTAACATAACATAAATAATGTACCAACACAAATATTATTTTGGTGAGAGGTTTCGGAGAACAGATGGGGCCAATTTTCCATTAGATTCAGACATTAGATTGTAACTTGCCACTTCCTATATTATTAAAAAATTGCAATAAATGAGGTAGCTACATATCTTAATACTAATTCTTTACGATATTACTTTTCGAACGAATAATATAAGCTCAGAGTCGTAATCCAACGTCTTTTGACTGTTGGATTTAAAATTTGGTATATGTGGTCGAGATTAAATTATGCAACTACTGAAAAGTATATAGTTTTGCTTTTATTTTAAAGCTAGAATTTTATTCTTATGTTCAGTGGCAATGTCTACTCTTCCATCGTATCCTTTCATTTAAAGGACTTGTCTATTTGCAACTCATCAAGATTTGCATGTCTATCCACAGAGTGGTTCAAGTTAACATCGTCGTTTGCACTTTTTTCATCTTACCTATCTAACGCGATCGCAACTAGATGTAAAATAGAAGCAGTGCAGCAGAGCACGTCTCCCGAGGTCCACATGTCGCAGAGCTCCGGGCCGAGAGTCCAGCGCTGCGCCACCTCATACACTGCGCCCAGGGGCATCACTAGACATGCCACTAGCAGATCGGCGACAGCCAGAGACAGGATCAGTTGGTTGGCAGCGCTTCTCAGATGTCTTTCCAGAAGTATAGCTGCTATCACGAATACGTTACCTGTTAAGTATAATATAACGTTAATATTGATCGCTAGGACATGACCTCCAAACCAATACGATCTAGCCTAGACCTTTAAGATGAAAACATCCTGTCACCGTTCCTTTTTCCTTAATCTACGACAGTTCTGTTGTTGTGGATGTCTTTGGTAATTGGTTACCTGTAACTCGTTGTAACTCGTAAAACGTATTGTTTTCAATTCCTAAAAAGACTTTAAACATTTTAAGAGGTCTCTGAGCGTGTGTGTAGAAACTACAGTACATTTTACACGCTGAACGAAACATACGTACCCCGCGGGATCTTGAAGTTCACTTTTTACGACATCTCGAGACGACTAGAAGTTTTACGATACTAAAAACACTCAAGAAGCAAATACAATTTATTAATGCAGGTATAAATAAGATTAAATTTACACATACCGATTACTGTTGCTAGAATCAATAAGCCAAGGGCGACGGCTTTTACTGCCGCGCGTAGAACTGCAGCGGGCGTATCGAAGGGCGCGGCGGCGTCCCACCAGGTGGTGTTGGCAGCGGTGACGTTCCAGGTTTCGGGCACCCAGTCTGTGCTGTTCAAGGTCAAGTTCTGCACCGGCAGTCGCAAGTATAGCGCCTCCCATTCAAACAGATCCTCGCCGTCCGCGCCCTCCATGTTGTCTCACCGAAGCACGCCCTCTACTGTAATTCACCAAACATATTAATCATCACAGATAAAATTTGTAACATTTAAAATAAATACTTTTTTACTTACTGTTTGTCGTGTAACTATTAGTCGTATAGTCCAGTGCTTGCTCCGCCATCGTCATCCTATCTATGTTTATTTAACCTTCCGTGGTTGTCAAACTGTAAGGAAAATTTTTATTTATGAAATAGGTACGAGATTTTTGATAAAAATATAAGATTTTTTTGGCAAAAGTAGCAAAAAACCCTATTCAGAACAGCGTGTTGACGAGTCAAATTTGACTTAATGATAGTCAACAATCGCAGGAAATTAAAAAAATAGATTTTTATACGTTTCACTACGTGCTATAAAAAGTTTCCTGTGTTAGATGGAGAATATAGTTAATTTTTCGGAATAATCCATACTGAATTATTGATTAAATGCAAAATGTTATGTTGTCTTTTAAAACTAATCATTAATTGGTATTCGTAGGTGACGCGACGAAACCGCAGACGAAATCTTATTACAAATAATGAGGTAAATGTAACCTTTAATGATACCTCAGGGTACACGATTTAAATTAAGTTTCTTAATCGTTGTACCGCTTATTTAAGTATTTCTCTATGTATTAACAAATATTTACAATTAGCCGATACAAAAGAAGTTCTCCTGTTTCAACTACGAATATTTTTTTATAGGAGAAGGGAGCAAACGAGCAACAAATCGCCTAAAATTATTTGGTCCGACGCCCATGGACATCCGCAATGCCAGAGGAACCGCAGATTCGTTGCTGGCCTTTAAGGGAGCTCTTTTCTTGAAGGCCCCTAAGTCGTAACTGTTTGGATAAACCGCTGATGACAGATTATATTAAATATGAATTAAAATGTTCCGCATTTTTTTGCTTTATAAACGCAACAAAAAAAGAATTACCCAAATTGTTCCATCCGTTCACGCGTGACGCGACAACATTACAGGGAAATAGAGATTACTGTTTACATAGATTAAAAGAGAAAAATTATAAACTGCAGGATTGCTAAGCTATTGTTGCACTCAAAGTCATTACGTTCCTTTGTGTAAATTTAGTATGATGCATTAGTTAAACGATTAATGAAGCCAGTACTTAAGTTAAAATGTAAAGCAAAATTAAATACTCTGAACTAAATGTGAATTAAAACAGAGTGTATGGGTACATCCGGTATCGCGATGTCGCAGCGGAAAAGGCTCTGTTTCCGGAAACGATAGCATTTTCCCATTACTGTATGGTGACTTTCACGACCCAGTTATGCACGTACAACTGGCGATGTTTATAATAATAAACTCTACATTTCATAGAATTTAGGTATACATAAGATGTATAAACTTAAATAGTTAGGAGACAAACGCGGTAAAAGTCATGTTAATAAGTATTTGATTATTATTTTAATATCATTTTAATTTTATTATAAACGATTAAAATTTTCAAAAAGTCCTCTAAAACCTTAAAGAACTGTATTTTTTTTTATAAAAATATTAGCAGATTTTTTTTTGTAAATTTACTAATATTTCTTTTACCATTCCAACTAAGCTCTATGCTTGTGCTAGGATATGGTTCACAACAATAGTCGAATGACGGGATTCGAACCCCCGGCCTCGTGATCGAAAATCCGTATCCTTAACCATTACGCTATTGGCGCTGTATTGTTACTAAAAACCGTAAATGTTTTTTTATATCACAATATTTTTTCTAAATATTCAAATATTGTATAGACATTACAAGTTTATCATCTTAAAGGAATATGATTTGATTAGAAACTTTAACGTTAAAACCTGTCCCCAAATTGGAGTGATTAGAGAAACTTTTATTCGAGGACGATAATTTGAAAAAGTTTTCCATGAACAATAAAACAGGCGAAAGAATTTTAGGTTTGTTCCAAATAACTACATTAAGCTAAGTAATTCGATGGTAGTCAATCGCTTTATTGTAATATAACAAAGGTTACGAATTTTTTTAATAAATTGAATTGTGATAGAATATCAATGACATTTTCATAAAAATCGTATTGAAATAACTATTTCGTAGAAATTATATGAAAAAAAAGTGGAATTTTTTTTTTTATAAAAAACTCATACAATAAAAACTATATCCAAAAACTAATAGAATTTTTTTTATAAATAAATTGAAAGCTACTAGAAGTGGAAATTCATTTCGAATACTTTATCCTTTAAATTTTAATGGACAATCCAATTCAGAATGCAATTGTAATATCTTGTTTCTGACAAACAAGGTCTGGCTTAGCTAAGAAACAAGCAGTTTGAGTCGCTTTGTCTGAGGAGAGAATATGGAAGGGGTCCGGCTCGGGGGGGGGGGGGATATTGCTAGCGGCGCCTTGTTTGCTGACTGCACAAGCTGTGAGCATCACACCTCGCTGAATTCAACTAAGTTGTTTTCAATTTATTTTTTAAATAATAGAGAAAACTGTTGTAGTTTTCCGTCAAGGCTGTTATTATTTTGATTTTACAATTTGCCAGATTTAACAATGTTACGGTAACAGAATTTACTGATTCATGTATGTTATTTATATAGCTACTTAAGAGAACATAATCACGTATTGATACACCATTGATATTACACAACATATTTCTTTGCAATTACTTGTCAATTTACGTTCAAATGTATTTTGTAAAATTGCCTCCATATTCTCAATATAAATAACAAGTGTACTAAAATCTGTTAACGATCGATTGAAGGGGTCGCGAATTCAATCCATATACGGCAAACTAAGTGTTTGTATAAAAGGCAATCACTTGCGTTTCAAAATCAATTTTCGACGAAAACGCCTAAAGGTACGTAAGAATGTGGAGGTATTTTTGTTACGAGAAATGTTTTTATTTGAATTTAATACTGAACGAGTTACTTTTATTTCATAAACACCATTTTATAAACCTATTGTGTTTATTTATAATTATTATGGCATTTGATTTAATGTACATGGCTGTGTGGAATGCCATTAGTGATGGACAAAAGGGTAAATGTCACTTAGCTGATGAGCGACATTAAGATCTATATAAATTATTATTTTTAATAATAGAAATAAGAGATGGAAAACCGGTTCACTTGAGATTTTATTAGAGCACTGGTTACTAATAAATGTTATTAAAAGTAAAACATATTCAATATATTTTTTAAATAATTGCATAGTTTGTGTTGAAAAACATTCTATTTTTAAAAAATATATTTTTGTTTTAGGCAGTGAAAGCGCGCGGTTAGAACAAATAGTTCACACACTTTAAAAATAAATTTTATTTAAATTTAGAAATTCTCGAAAAACAGTTATACAAAACAGTTTTTAAAGAGAACAGAAACGTCGGAAATGTTAGTAATCGTTAAAAAGCATATCGCAAACAGCAAGTTATGAAATAACCTGAAATAAATTATTTATATTCCTTAAAAAGTTTTTATCAAAGTATAAAGAAAACCGTTTCAAATTCTTAATGTGAAATCGTAGGCCTGAGAGGGTAAAATATTGAATAAGAAATCCGCGACACAAAACCGTATCACGGAGGCTTCCGTTAAACGCCCCGAACGGGACGGAAACAACGTTTCCGATCCGAAGTAGATTCACTCGCGTCTTTGTAATGTATCTTGACTCGTACATTAAAAAGATACGAATAGTTTGATACTGAAATATAAAAGCTTGTTTTTGCGTGGATAAATGTGTTTTCTTTGTCAACCTTATTCTTTACCTTTGTCTTAAGAAAATACGGACTTCAAAAAATGTCTCTGAAACAAAAATATAATGTTCATTAATATTTTGTACAAGTTTCATTATATTTGGAGTCTAGGTAATGAAGTGTAATATAGCTAGATGAGAAAGATTAGCCTATAGACGTATTTTACAAGGAAATGTCACGTCCAGAGTAAATAGTCTGTCCATAAATCTGTCAGATATATATATATATATATATAGAAGACATTATTTATTTTGTTACTAAAGTATGAAATCTTTATTAAAATTTGATTTTAACTACAAAATGATGTTGTAAATGATCAGAGTTTATAACAGAGTTTAATTATAAACGGAACACAGCTACTAATCGCTTCTATTAATCCCGGTCTGTCTCCTCTTTGTGGTGGTTGTGTTTTATTTTAAGTTAGGAAGCATTTGTACAAGAAATTTTACTTCAAACAATTAGATTTACAGTGGGTTTCTGATACCAAAATTTCCGTTTAAAACATACTGTTTTGTCAAAGATAAAACACAGAGAAGACGATATATTTTATACAGAGATTTGGGTATAAGAAACCCACGGTTGAAAAAATCGAAAAGTCAAATTGTTTGAGTAGCAAATAAAAATATTGTTAGGTAATAAGCCGTTGCATTAGTATGTAAAACAAAAAAAAACGATATCTATTATATTTGAGAACACAGGAACGTTCCTATATGTTTTTATGTAACAATTTTTTTTATTTCATACACAAATGAATATGAACTGGTAGTTACAATATAAATTAAATACAGATTCATATAAATCCTCTCGATACTAATAAGTGCTGACCTTTATCGGAGTTTGAAAGGTTTTCTCAACCCTAATAGCCGCAGGAGAGGCTTTCGAAGGAGGATTTCAATATTATTTATATGAATATATCACTTTATAACAAACATTTCTAATGGCCTATTATATTCTTTTGTGATACTTAATCCTACAACAGTTGTTTCCTTTAAGCGATTTTATAAAGAAATTTAAAAAAAAAAACAAAAAAAATGTTTTCAACGGATAACAAAGTATTCAAGTCAAATGTTTTGTATGTTGCTAAATAGCTATTTGGATATACGCCAATGAAAATCATTTTCCATACTAAATGCTTCTAGATATTTCTAGATGTGTAAAAATATTTATTACTGCACTTTTGGCAAACTATTGCGTTTAAGAGCTACTAAAAAGTTTCGCTTTATACACTTTGGAACGATTAATACTCATAAAGGTTTGCTTTTACAATCTTAGTTTTGACGATAAATATTTATAAAAGTTGTTCCAATTTTTTTTATTAACATTTAATTTGATTAAAATAATCATACAATAATAATGTAATTATTAAAGGCAGTGTACTTTCATATTAAAATTTTTAAAACTAATAAAATATTTATAAAGTACGGTTTAAATATAATTTTTACCCGTTTCTGTGTTACTACA